TACTACTTCACTTGGTGATCTCATCAATTCCCATGGATTTAATTACAATTGCTATGCAGATGATTCTCAAATCTTCCTATCCTGCCCTAACCTTTTTGCTGACCTCAAATCTCACATTTCCAACTCACATTTCAGACATCTCAAACTGGATGTCCAATAGACATCTTAAACTCAACATGTCTTAAATTGAACTCATTGTCTATCCCCCTAAATGATCCTATCTTCCCTATTACTGCAGAGGGCAACACCATCCTCCCACTCTCTTGCCCCTCACATCCAATCTGTTGCAAAGGCCTGTCAATTTCACCTCTGCAACATTTCTCAAATACGCCCCTTTCTCTCCTCTGATGCTGTCACAACTCTAGTGCAGGCCCTCATCACCTCATGCCTAGACTATTGCAATAGCCTGATGGTGGATCTGCCTGCCACAAGTCTCTTCCCGCTCCAGTCAATCTTCCATTCAGCCACTAAAGTGATTTTCCTAAAGCACAGTTCCAACCATGTCACCCTGGCCTCACTCCACCCTCCCTTCCAACTCTAATAATTCCCTATTGCCTCTAGGACTAAATATAAAATCCTCTGTTTGGCATTGAAAGCCTTTTGGAACCTAGCCCACTCTTACCTTTCCAGTTTCTTACTCCCACCTATATATTCTTCAATCCAGTGACACTGGCCTCCTTGCTGTTCTACAAACAATACCTTCCATCTCTTGGCTCTGAGCATTTTCTCTGGCTGTCCCTCATGCCTGGAATGCTCTCTTTCATTTCTACTTACTACCTTCACCGGCTTCGTTTAAGTCCCAACTAACATTTGGTCTTCTACAGGTAGCTTTTCCCCAACCCCTCTTATTCTAGTGCCTCCTGTCTTTTAATTATTTCATATTTATCCTCTATATAGCTTGCCTGTACGTATTTGTTTGCTTGTTGTTAGATTGTGAGCTTCTGAGGGCAGGGATGGTCTTCTACCTCTTTTTGTATCCCCAGCACTTAGCACAATGTTTAGCACATAGTAAGCACTTAATAAATGTTTATTGACTGATTGTCTAAAAGAACATGAACAAGCTGTTTTCAAAAGAATTTCAAATTATTAATAGCCACATAAAAAAACATTCCAAATTATTACTATTAAGAGCAGTATAAATCAAAGTCAATTGAAGGACTTACTACGTGCCAGGTACTATACCAAGCAGGGGGAAATACAAAGAAAAAGCAAAAACAGTCCCTTCCCTCAATTATAGTCCAATAAAGGAGACAAGATATATAAATATATAACTAGGAAGTGATGGCAGTAGTACCTAGGGATACCAAAAGTATTCCATAGTTTCATCTCATATCAACAGGTAAAGATGGCCAAAAAAAGGAAATATCCAGTGTCATAGAAATTGTGGGAAAATGGACGTATTAACTGTTGGAACTATGAATTGATCCAAGCACTATGGAAATCAACTTGGAATTATGCAAAAGAAGATATTCTATTGACCCCAAAGAGATCAATAATTTTGTTAAATAGGTACATAATCATCAAAATATAGCACTTTTGATAGTAGCAAAGAACCCTGAAAAAGTAGATGCCCATTAATTAGAGAATGACTAAATAAGATGCAGTACACCGATGTAATGAAATGTTACTGTGCTACAGGGAATGACAAAGAGGATGATACAGAGAAGCACAGTAAGATTTATACAAACTAATGTGAAATAAAATAAAGAGAATCAGGAAAACAATAAACATAATGATTATAAAAATACAAGGAATAAAAACAACAAAATAATTGAAAAAGAATGCTGTGAAACTAAAATGATCAAACTTGTCCCCTAAGAAAAGATATGAGAAGATATCGCCTTCTTTTCTACATAGAGGTGGTAGACTTAAAATTAGGTCAAAGTTTTTTTTTTTCTCCCTGCCTTTAATCTTTCCCTCAATCAGTTGCTTTGTGAATAAATCTCTTGATGCATCCAAGAACATGGTGCTGCCAACATAGGCTGTCTTTGTTGGATACTTGGCTTAGTTCAGCTGCTCCTCCTATTAGTTTATACTTCATTGCCATTTCCATGTCCTTTACATGCACATTTAGGTCTGTGTTACTAATGTACTCCACTGTCCTTGATAGGGAAAGGAGTTTGATATAAATGTTTTTGCAGATCTTTTCTTATATGTTTGTTGTCCTCCTTCCATTTTCATCCTTAAATGTCCTTAGGATGATTTTAATTATATGGCTCTCTCTCACCAAGCTTTTTAAAACCTATTTTTCCCTCAACTCTTCACTATTTTATATGATGATATTTATACTCTCTGCCCTCAATTTTTACTTGTAAGGTTTTGTAAATGAGTTTATATTTTAAATCCTTGGTGCGTTTCTTATCTGTCATCCTATTCTACTTGACAATTCAAATATTTCTTGAGAAAGCATTTTTTAGTTTATTTTTCTTTTCATTATGGCAATGGGTTTACCTTCATTATGCTTCTGTATCACATTGGCATGATTTAATCATAATAAAATAACCATATCCCACCTTTACTATCAATGATTTATTTAAATAGGTCATGTTGGAGTTGTTTAAATTGAATACCATATCTTTTTTCTCACTTTTATCCTTTGTTCTAGTTTTGTATTAATTTTGTCCTTTGCTTTAACAAATCAGTGGTCTACATGACTGTACATGTACGGCTGATGCAAAAGTAGCTCCACATTGGAGATGCTTCCCAATACCCACTCACATATTCTTGGATTGAGCCCTCAGGGCAGTAACCACTCTTGGATTCTTGGGGTAACACTCTGGAGCTATACACCTAACACTCATGACCCCCCCCATGTTTTTTCTCATTAGCAGACATGTCAAAAGATGAAATTAGCTCTTAGCAAAGGTACATAGTAAAATTATATAATAAGCACAGTTAGCATGAAAGATTTTCCCACAAACCTCATCACGTGTGCCTAAATTCTGTGACTACATCAAATAAGTTGGGACATGGGGGAGAGAAACACATCTTATCTGAGTAATAATCACTTCCTATATGCTTAAATAGAATTAGTTTCCTTTGGAGGATTTTATTCAAAGATAATCAAGGATAATCTCATCTACTCCCATCATTTTGCCAACAAGGAAATGAAGTCCTAGTGAGGTTAAATAAGTAACTTGCCCAAAGTCACAGAAATGGCACAATCAGAATTTGGAGCCATCTGTCTGCCTTCAAATCCAGTTCTCTTTCCCCAACAATGGTATTACTTGAACACTTGTGAGTGGCTTGGATTGGAAGAGTAAGGAAGATCAACTAACAGGAGCCTATAATGAGTCAAGTCACTAGTCGGTGGCTGTGGAAGTGGGAAAAAAGGCACAACTGAGAGGTATGGGAGCATATGGACTTAGTTACAGATGGAATGTGAGGAAGGCAGGGAGAAGAGAACGACATCACCATATTACAGTTGAGAGAAGACTACATTATCTAAAACTGTTAGATGAAATAACAAGATTTGTTGCCTTGTACTTATAACTTACTCTAAGACTATCCCCACAAAATGGCACATTTGATGGCTCTGCAGGGTAAAATTTACACTATGTAAATCAGTAGATACTGAGGTTTCCATGGTTTTTAAGGAACAAAACCTTGATGCCTCTTTCATTCTGTTTGTCCTCCAAGTCTGAGATCAAGAAATTTAAGCTACACTAGGGAGCTATTATTTCTCTGGTAGTTCCTTCTTCTCTGTTTTTATTCAGTTTCTTAGAATATAATTGATATTAACATTTTGCATATATTTACCTTCTTTCTTTGGCTATCAAGGACAAACACTGCAAAGAACTTTACAAGAATTAATTTTTAGGTATATTTGAAGTTCCCTATTTCCTCATCACAGCCCCATCCTCACCCCTTCTAGACACACTATTAAGGGAAATAATTTTCTTCTTCTAAGCAAATGGTATGAAAGTCAGCTGAAGCAGTAGTACATTTCAAGAGGTTTTAAGGAAAAATTGTTAGTATCAGAAGTGGGGAGCTAAACCCAGGAACGCTGACTTGAACCTCCTGCTCTGGTGATGAGATGCCATTCTTCTATGGTGATGTAACATTTGTAATATGGAGTTTTAACTGGTCCCCCAGAGGCCCAAAACTGAGAAGTCTAGGAAATAGTTCACAGAAGAACAGGAATAGGGCAATAAGGTCTACATATGCATTAAAGAGACTGGTTAGAACAATTATTTGGTGGGTGAAATGTACTTACAGATGAAAGTCACAGTTAAAAAATGCAGAACAGATGGAGAAAAGGCAAGGGGGAGACTAGGAATTATTGCTTGGAAACCAGTGGAATTTGGACTGTGACATTTTAGATAAATCCCAAATGTTAATGGAAAACAAGACATCAAAATGAAAAGAAGGATATGGCAAATCGTGCACATTTTGCAATCAGCTTCAGTTAAGATTTTAGAATCCAGGAATTTTATAGTATTAGAGGCTGACATATAAAGAAAGGTAGATAGAAATGGTAAGTAATTCAGTGCTCTTAGTTGGAGGTGAATAAGGTTTTAGATGTATATAAACTTAGCTTATTTAAAAGAATTCCTATAGCCTCAAATCTATGATTCTATGATAATAGTTCAAATACTTCTCAGTTAGCTTCTATTCCCTCACCTCTACCCCAAACACATATATAATGATTTGAGAGACAAGAGAGGTAAGCCTTTGCTAAACTATATTTTTCAATCCTCTTGAGTACTCTATGGAAAATGTCTTGGTTAAAAAACACACCTAGGTAGGGCAGCTAGGTGGTGCAATAGGTAGAGCACTGGCCCTGAAGTCAGGAGGACCTGAGTTCAAATCCAATCTCAGACCAAACACTTAACACTTAACTAGCTGTGTGACCCTGGGCAAGTCACTTAACCCCAACTGCCTAAAAAAAAATACATATAGATATAATGAGTAACTTGTTGGATGCCCATTTTAAAGACAAAATCTAAATTAGAGAATGTTGCCTTCCCTGAATTCAGCATTCAATGTTTCTTTAACAGGTTTTTTTTAAGTATTTCCTGAGAGTACATCTGAACAAATCTCATTTGAGTGACTGTAGATCTCACTGAGTGTTCAGAAGGTTGATTCCTTCAGCTCTGTGTCATTTGCAACAACAACAAAAAAACCATCATCTATATATCTTCTCCATCAGTAGAAAATCCGTCTTCAATAGAACTTTGTGCAAGACAACCACCATGATGCTCATAAACAACAAGGTGTGCTCATATGTCCCCTAGTTTGATTTCTTTCTTACTGTTGATGCTCCAGATTGTAATTTCTAATGGTGAAACAGATTGTAAAATCGTGTAGTTCTACCTTCTTGATTAGCAGATAATGAAACAAAGGGTCAGAGAGGTTAAGTGAGTCATCTAACGTCACCCAAACGATGAGAATCATAGCCAGGAATCAAACCCAATCCTAATAAAACTAACTCTAATGATCTTTCCATACCCCAAGGTTGTCTGCCATAAAATTTTCTATGGAATTTGCATATCTTTAACATATCTATGGGTGACAAACTTGCTTGAGGATAGCTTTTAAAGCACTACTTTGTACGGTCAAGTTAATTGGTTTTTGTTTTTGTTATCAACAGACAATGGACATAGTGGTAGCATAGGTTTTTATACTTCTCAGACAACTGTTGGATGGGATGTTTTTGGAGGATTTATGAAAGACATAAAATGACTCAGGATGAGATGGCAAAGAGAGACGATCCCCTACTTACCAATGAAATCAGATTTTCTGAAGTACGGAAGCATTTCTAAACAGTCTGCGGCTATTGCTTTTGGTAAGTCAGTTTCCCTTGGCTTCAGTCATTCTAGAAAGAAGTGGTGAGTCATTTTTCTTTCAATAGTGTTCTTGAATTCTTAGTAGGCTTAGTAGGCTATGCATAAAGTGATAAAATTGTTCCTTTCCTTTTGATACAAATATCACTTAACCACTACCTTTCCTGATTAACATCCGGATCCTGACACCATAGAATAAGGAAACAAAAAGTAGGTGCGGTAGTCTTTGTTGATCTCTGGATAGATGGCATGATCAATATTATCAATAATTGAAGAGTTAAATAATTAAAGTGACATCATCACTATCATTCAGTTATTCAGTTTAGATCTCTTTTCCTATTTGTATTTTTCTTTCTATCTGTGGATTTTTATTGATGAATTATTTTAGGCCTTGTTTATCTTTGAAGCACATGATTTGGGAGTTCAATCTTTTTTAAAACTGTACAATTTTGGGGCAGCTAGGTGGCACAGTGGATAGAGCACCGGCCCTGAAGTCAAGATGGACCTGAGTTCAAATTCGGCCTCAGGCACATAACACTAGCTGTGTGACCCTGGGCAAGTCACTTAACCTCAACTGCCTAAAAACAACAAAAGAAAAAAAACTGTACCATTTTGGTTTTTTTTCCGTTATTTTTGAAATTTCTACTGTTATCAAATTAATTTCTTTTTACTATATCTTCCCAATACTTAGAGTATTTCTCTTTGTTTTATGATTCTGGAGTTTAACTATTGATGCTTTGATGAATTGTAGGTAGGATTTCTACATACTGAAATCCTAGCAGGTATTCTGTTTACTTACAGAATGTTGCCAACACTAGAAAAAATTTCTCTGCTTATGTCCTTATATATAGCAGCTAGTTTTTTAAAGGTTTTGAGTTCCCTGGAATCCCAATTAGTCACATGTTTTTACCTTTTGCTTTGTTTTCCAGATCTGTTATTCTGTTCAGCATTTTAATTTTTTTTAATTCTTTTATTTTATTTTTTTTTTAGGCAACTGGGGTTAAGTGACTTGCCCAGGGTCACAGAGCTAGTAAGTATCAAGTGTTCGGTCTGAGGCCGGATTTGAACTCAGGTCCTCCTGACTTCAGGGCTGGTGCTCTATCCACTGTGCCAACTAGCTGCCCCTTATTCTTTTAAATATTGAGCTTGTTCTTCAATTAGTTTTTTTTATTACCTGTAAGTATTCAATAAATTTTATTTATTCTGTTATTCATGAATTCTACTAATGTTTTAGTCTTTGGGTGTCATCTCAAAAATGTACTTAATTCTAGACTTGAAAGACAGACAAGGCAAAATATAGAGATGAGAGATGAATGTTTCATTCTATATATGGAGAATACATATATGTACATATGGAAACACAAAGAAGCTAGATGTCTGTGAAGGGAAATAATGTGAAATTCAGTCTCAAAAGATTGATTAAAGCAAGATTTTGAAGGGTTTTATTATCAAGATAGGCTTTATCTTGTATCATAGAGACAAAGTTAAGCAAGGGAGTGATGAGGCTAGGGGCAGCTAGGTGGCACAGTGGTTAGAGTGCTGGACCTGAAGTCAGGAAACTCACCTTCCTGAGTCAAAATCTGGCCTCAGACATTTACTAGCTTTGTGAACCTAGGCGAGTCACTTCACTCTGTTTGCCCCACTTTCCTCATCTGTAAAATGAACTGGAGAAGGAAATGGCAAACCACTCCTGTATCTTTGCCAAGAAAACCCCAAATGGAATCACAAAGAGTCAGACACAACTGAGATGATTGAACAGCAACAATGATGGGGCTAGATTTGCACCTTAGGAATCTCAGCTTCAGAGCTTCGTGAAGAATGCATTGGTAAAGCAAGAGACTGGGAGCAGGGAAAACAATAGAAGGCTATTGGTAACAACTCCAGCTAAATTATTTTCAAGTACCCATGTGATGCTCACAAAAGTAGATGATAGACTAGGCTATAGAAAAGCCCTCCATACATTTTAAAAGGCTAAAGCCATATGACTATATTATCAGACCACAATGTAATAAAATTAGAATTAAATGACAATATGCGTAAAAGTTACAAAACTATATGCCAAATGGAATACAACAAATCAAACAATTATCATGTTAAAGAAGAAATCAATAAAAAACATAACAGAATATTTAAAAGATAATGAAAGTGCCCATATCAAAATCTAGGGATAAAGCCAAAGTATTTCTTAGAGGTAGATGTATATAAAATATCATCATTAAGAAGACAGACAAGGAGAATAATACTTATAACTAAAGGCACTAGAAATAGGAACAATGTGGCAATCCAGACGAAATGGGAAAAGAGAGCTCTCAAGAGCAGCAAAGAATAGAATAGAAAATGGAAGAACAATTGATGAAACCAGGAAGTATTTTTTTTCTTAAAGACCAACAACATTTGCAAACTGTCCGCGAACAATTTTTAAAAGGAAAAGAAGGGGCAGCTAGGTGGTGCAGTGGATAGCGCACCAGCCCTGGAGTCAGGAGGACCTGAGTTCAGAACTCAGGCATTTACTAACTGTGTGACCCTGGGCAAGTCACTTAACCTTGACTGCCTCCAAAAAAAAAATGAAAGGAAAAAAGTGCACATCAAAATTACAAATGAAAAGGGAAAGAATGCAATAAACAAAAGAAATTTCAATTTTCATTAGAGATGGCTAATAGAATAGAGAACTTAAAGAAGGGATTATGATATAGTGGACAGAGAGACAGCCTTGAAGTCAAAAAGACCCAAGTTCAAGTTCTGCCTCTGCTGAATACTATGTGACTGATTATGGATAAATTGTTTGATCTCCCATTGATCTAGGCGACTCTCTAAAACTATGAATTGCATAAGAGTTGTTCTATTCCATTGGTAGATTTCCTCATGAAGAATTCTTGTAACAGTGAAATAATAGATGTTACCCCACCCCCAACAAAAAAATTTAAGTAAAAATGACACAAACTGATACATTAAGAAATTAATCATTTTAATAAGCTAATAATATCAGAGGAAGAAATAGGTAAATTATTTTTTAAAATAGCCTATAAAATACCTGACTCATGGATTTTAGATGAAGTATAATCAAATCTTCTAAAAAACAAATAACCTGTAAATTACATAGATTATTCACAAATGTAAAGAAAGATGAAATACTTCCTGATAACTATTATGAGTAAATATGATGCTGAAATTAAAACCTGACCAAGAAAGCACTAAAAAAGAAAGCCGCAGCCCCATATCACTAATGAATATAAATGCAAAAATATTTAATAAAGTATAAAATAACAATGTAAGAATATATTAAAATAGATTTATTATGATCAAACAAGGTAGATTACAGATATGCAAAGCTGGCCTAACATTACAAACCATTAAACAGGAGTTAGTATAATGTTCAGTGGAAAATTTTAGAAGCATCTTCACTAAAAATATATAAAAAATGAAGATTCTCACTTTAACTATTGCCATCTAACTTAGTATGAAACATTCTAGAATAGCAGTGGCTAGGATGTACAGAGGATAAAGCACTAGTCCTGGACACAGGAAGACCTGAGTTCAAATCCGTGGCAGATGTTTATTAGCTACGTGATCCTGGGCAAGTCACTTAACATCTGTCTGCCTCAGTTTCCATAAGTACAAAATAAGGATAGTAATGAAACTTCATTGGGTTGTTGTGAGGATCAAATTAGATGATATTTATAAAATATTTTGCAAAAGCATAAAAATGTTATTACTATTGGGGTAATTTCAATTAAGACAAGAAAATATTAGAGAAAATATCATTAAAAATTAAGAGATCGAAACACCACATTTGTAGATGATAGAACAGCATATCTAGAAAATCTAACTGTCTCAACCAAAACATTAATTGAACCAACAAATAAATTCAATAGTTATAGATTGCAAGATCAACACACAGAAAGTCATTTACATCCTTATGTACTGGAAATAAGGATAAAGAAAATATCACAAAAGAATATTACTTATAAGAAACACCAACAACTGTTTGAAGTGTGAAAGGTCACCTAGAAAACCATAATGATTAAAATAAAGGAAGAACTTAATAACTAGTGTTCTTTCAAAACTGTGTCCCTTCACATTAATTTTGTGGTCATCCTTTAAATTATTCCTCTTGTTCTACCCAGGTGTGGAAACCTGGAGAACATGAGCACACAGATCTGTTTAGTAGTTATTAAGCAAATAACCTAATATCTCTTTGGTGTTAGGCAAATAGCCACTACCCAGTTTATAATCTTGTTGTCAAACATGAAAATTTGGGAAGTATATTGATAGGCACATTCTAGGCTATGGTAAGGTTTCTGATGCAAAGGCCCTAGCCCAGGACTAGGAAAAAGGAGGGGTCCAAAGAAAAGATTAAGCCTAAGGGGATTAGTTAGCTGAGAATAACCCGGCCTTTGTCCTAAAAGAGCTTGGCATCTAGAACAGAGAAACTTTTGAAAACCCCCTACAACCAAGACTCTGGGGGAATCAGAGAGGGGAAGTCTTTCTGGGAGTCCTAAAGAAAGGGTTTCCTGCCCTTTCTAAAAGAGATAGAGAAAAAAAGAAACCTAACTTTAGGCTTTTTGTTAAGAGAACATGGCAGCACCAAGTCTTCCCTGAAGGAGAGAGATCTGAAAATTTCAAAATTGGAGATTGGAGAATCTGTTCAACAAAGCAGCATGCTTTATCAACTAAGTATCCAGAAGAGCAGTATCTAGCAGAGACAAGACCAAGGAAGCCCAATAACACGTAGAGGACAGGGAACTGAGTCTCCATTTTGGCTGTAACAATGACCTCTGTTTGAACCTGGCCAACAGAAAGTTGTAAATCCAACACCTTCCTAGACACTTAGTTGCCACAGGACTCTCTTACCTGTTAACAACTGCCTTGTGATTTCCATGACTCTTTAGGCTGCATATTTAAGGGTGGTCTGAATGAATGAAACTTCCTTAATTAGTCTCACTGAAAGCTCCGTACAGCTAGACAGAGCTAATTCGGATCATAGACTTGCAG